GTAGGGAAGTCTATTCTGTTCATTTTGACCCAGGACTCAAACTCAAGCCTCTTATACAGGTCCAATATTGCTACTGGTACCCTGTTGCCTGTTTCACCATGACTGGCACATCATCTATTTCTAACACCGTGTTACAAATCTTATCCCTTAATTTTATAGCACTGTATGTACCACTAGATAGGGTCATAATTTTAGATTGATTCCTTATAAGGTTCATTATATTTTTATAGGATTTATATTAAAGGTTTCTATTCTTTAAGTATTTTATTGGTTAGAGTCATTAGCTTATTGGGACCAGCAGATAGCATAGCAGTACATCACTGAACTTCCACATGGGCGACTATTGTTTCAAATCCCAAATCTGGTGGCTGGAAACTCACATGAGATGCATGTGCATGCAAGCCTAAGAGCCTGGGAGGAGAATATAAAAGGTATTGTGTTGTGCTATCCCCCCGGGGGGCTGATTTATTATTTTCCCTCTCGTTGTCTCTCTCTCTCTCTCTCCTCGGCAAGCACATGCACCCTAAGGCAAAAACCTCTACCCCCCTCCCCCCAAAAAAGTTATTAGCTTATTTACATGCCTTTTTTTTTAATTAAGAAAGTTCTCAGAAATACAGAAAAATTGAATAATTATTATAAACACTGTATGATCTTTTTGAATAAGTTTGTGTCCTAAGGTTATGTTAAAGTATAATGTTAAAATCTAGTTTGTCTGCTTGCCTTCCTTCCTTTCCTACTTTGTCAGAGGACATGTGTGCTCAAGAGAGACAGCGAAAGGACCTCAGTGGGATGTGGTCACTCCAGTCCCTTCTCCATTTTTTCTGGATTTGAGACATGCATACACAAGTACCCAGCATATTTCCTAAGCCACAGGGTCTGGGATTTGAACCATGTGGTCAGACATGTGAGATTTGGCTCCCATATCCACCAGGCCGTGGGGCTAGCCAAATCTAGTTTTTCGTTGTCTTCTAACGTACTCTTTCTGTTAAATGTGGCCAAGCTAAAGAAAAAAAATGATGTCATCTAAGGTTGCACATCCAATCCCAGGTACATTAAGGACTTTGGAGATATAGAAATTAATAGAATGACTCCTAAATTCTTAATCAAAAATTTCAATTCCACAGCATTTCACTCAAATTTTAAACTATGACAGCTCACAAACATTTTCCTAAGTTTGTTGCCTGTTACTAATAATGAGGCTGCAGTGATACAAGATTTTCAGGGTGCTATTTTTACCAAATCAGAATGTTAATTTTTACTTTTTTAAGTCTCTTTCTTTTTACATTATTATTATTATTATTATTATTATTATTTTAGTTTGGTGATCTTATTAAAATTAACTCCTAAAAATATTTATTTATTTAAGAGGGAGAGGGCAAGAGAGCGAGAGAGAGAGAGAGAGAAAGCGAGAAATCACCCTCTGGGGAGATGGCCACACTGTAATCACTTCTCTTCCATTCTTCTCTTGGGATCTTGGGCATGCATGCACACACGCCCAGCGTCAGTTTAAGCCACTGGGTCTGGGACTCGAACTCCAGTCAACTACATGGGAGTTCAGCGACATAGCTATTACGCTAACTGCTGGTCCCTAAAATTATTATTTTTTAACTTGAAACTTTGAGAGTTGTTTTTGTTGTTTAAATTGCAAAGAAAATGTAACTATTATACATTAAAGAATACTATGACAAGAGATGATGTTAATGAGTCACAGAGCTTGAAAATTTTCATTTAATGCCTGTTTAGGGAGGTATATTGGCATAGTCTCTTTTTAAAAAATAATTATTTAACTTTGATTTATTATCATCATCATTATTAATTTACTAGAGAGAGAGGGAGAAAGTGAGAAAGCAAACTGCCAGTCCAGGACTTGAACTGCAGTCAGCTATGTAGAAATCCACAGTGCCTTAGCCATCACACCACCTGCTGGCCACTCCCTTTTATTTTGGCTAGAGGGTGCACATACTCTCCAGAGAGAGCCTGAGAAAGAGGAAGAGGAGAAAGCATCCCCATTAGGAATAGTCAGGCTGAACTCCTTCTCCCTCTGTTCTTCCTTCAAAATTTTGAGCATGTATGCGCACGCACCTGGTTTGTTTCTCAAGCTGCAAGGACAACCCTTTGAACTGTGAGGATAGCCATGTGAGATCCTGCTTCCTTAACTACCACACACAGAGATAGCCTGACATAGTGTCTTTTTCTTGTTATTTTGTCACTAAAAGTTTATAATTACTGAGTTGGCCCTCTCAGCCATCTTGTTATTAGTTACCTTACTAGTTTTTTCCCCCGTTTTAGCGTTTTAGTTAATGAGAAAACAAAGGAAAAGATGTCACTACCGTATTTTTCCTATTCAGCTTTTACGAACTCTCATTGTGATCTTAGGTTAGAAAAACCTTGGGAAAATGTACTCTGCGGACATTGTAGCAGTTAAGATCTATTTGTGTAAATTTGGAAATTAGTTTGTTAATATGGACTTATCTCCTATTTTCTTTTCTACTAGATCCATTTTCGGTCAAAAGGAATGTGGCACGGAGCTTAAACAGCCAGCTTGTTTATGAATATGTTGTGGAGAGGTTCAGGGCAGCTTATCGGTATTTTGCCTGTCCTCAGAGGAAGGGTGGAAATAAGTCTACAGTGGATTTGAAGAAAAAAGAGAAGGGGAAAACAAGCAGTAAGAAACCAGTGAAGTCTGACAATATGGCAACTAATTGTTGCATTCTGCTTGGAGAAAGCACAGAAAAAACAAACACAGAAAAATGTCAACCTGATAAATATGATGAAATAGAAGGTACATCACAGAGATGTATTATTAACAATGACAATTTATTGGTAAATGACCTAGATTTGGCTGACCATGGACAAGAATATTCATTTCTTTCTACTGGTGAAGGCAGTAAATTGGAGCCAAAATCAGTTAAGAAACAAGATGATTTAGCACCTGCAGAAATTTGTTTTAAAAAGGAGTTCAGCCAATGTAATTGCACTGAGTGTAAATCTCCTGATTCAGGTGAATCTGCTGGAACAGACTGCAGGTCAAACTGCAGGGCAAATTTAGAAACAGAACGTTCACATCAAATTGCGTGCACCAACACATCTGCTACCTCTTGTAATTGCAAAGCTACAGAAGATGCTTCTGACCTTAATGATGATGATAACTTCACCACCCAGGACTTATATTATGTGTTTGATAAGTTTATTTTAACTTCTGGCAAGGTAGGATACAGTTTTTAAACAATCTTTAAGATTTCGTGGTGGTTACATGGTTGTATAGTTTTTAGATTAGAAATATACATATAGTTTCTGTGCAGTTGTTTTGGGATGATATTTTAGTGTATAATTGTCTTACTTTTTGCACTGCCCTATTCTTGCCTTTAATAAGTCCCAAAAGGTTTCAGCACACTATTATTAGTTGGTTTCTTCACTTTCTTACATATGAAAGGATTCATCCCATGTTTTATGAAAATTAACTTGGCAAAGACAAGATATATTTTAACTTTTGCTTATTTTTTAAACATATAATTATTTTTCTTCCAAAAAGATTACAAGGTTTGTACTTTCTAGTAGTGTTCTATTTTAGTTTGTTTTTTTTTTGTGAGGGTGGAGGAGTGCTTAGTATAAGCAACCTAAAGGTAATTCAGGGAGCTACACTTCTAAAAGAATTAAAAAAAAAAAAAAAAAAAAAAAGGAAAGTCAAGATCATGAACCCCTCTAAAAATAATCAAGAATCCAGATTCTGTCTTTTCTGGGTTTTGGCTTATCCCTTATAAATTTTAGGAGTCTGAACTTTTTTAAATGGGATAGTCTGAACTTTTGAATTACAGAAAATGTCCCAGTGCACACACACAAAAAAGCAATAACTGTTTTGTTTATAAGAGAACTTTTTAGCTAAGTGATATTGCTTCAAGTGTGATGCACATAATTGAAATATCATTATCGACACCAGAATGAAAAAATTAAAATATAAATAATTATGTTTAAACAAATGGATTATTAAAAGAAAAACAACTGGAATCTCATCCAGCTTAATTTTTTTTTTTTTTTTAGAGGTTTTTGCTATAGGGCTCGTGCGCTTGCCAGACAGACAGAGACAGAAAGCGAGAAAGCACCATCCAGGGAGAATGGCCATGCCGCAATCCCTTCTCCTCCATTCTCCTCTCGGGATCTTGGGCACGCATGCACACACGCCCGGCGTGAGTTTTAATTTTAAGCCACCGGGTCTGGGACGCGAACTGTGGTCGACTAACGTGGGAATCCAGTGACATAGCCATTATGCTAACTGCTGGTCCCAGTTTTTTTTTATAGTTAACTATTGTCAGGCTATACCATTTTAAACCTAGTTACTAAGCAGTATTTCTTTTTTATTTTATTTTTTTTAAGAGGTTTTTGCTTAGGGTGTGTGCGCTCACCAGAAAGAGAGAGAGAGACAGAAAGCACGAAATCACCCCCCAGGGGGGATGGCCATGCTGCCACAATCTCTTCTCCTTCATTCTCTTCTCGGGATCTTGAGCACACACGCACATGCGCCTGGCGTGAGTTTAAGCCACTGGGTCCAGGATTCAAGCTGTGGTTGACTACATGGGAGTCCAGTGACATAGCCATTATGCCAACTGCTGATCCCAGCATTTCTTTTTTAAAAATCTATTTTATTGGAGTATGATTGATATTTAAAAAAACTATAGATACTTAAAATACATAACTTGATGTAGTTGGAGATAAGTATATTGTGAAATCATTGTCACTATGAATGCCATGACCTTATTTATCATCTCCCAAAGCTCTTATCACCCTTTCCCTTTGTGGTGAGCGCTCTTAATGTAATATTTATCCCCTCTCGCAGTAAGTGTATAATAAGTATTGTTAATCAAGGGCCCTAAATTCAGTTGTACAGATAAATGAGATCTCCAGAACTTACTTATTTTGCATAAATGAAACTTTGTCCCCTTTGACTAAAACCTCCAATTTCCTCCTCTGGCTCACCAGTTTCTTCATTCTATAAAAGGATACATTTGTTGCTTTTTTGTCTGAGTTGCATTATTTAGGACATGCAGACTATTGAAAAGATGAAATAAATGGTGGAATTTTAGAAAAACTTCTTAATTATGTAACAGCAGTTTATGTATCCTGTATTTTATACTTTTTTCTTGGAAAATTATTTTAAGGTAAGTGCTGTTTCTCCAGTTACTATTTTTGCTAGTTATATGTAACAGTGTTAAAAAATTCTGACCTACATACATCATTTAAAAAAAAAAAAAGCTTTGGGAAGCTGATAGGAAGTCCTATAATACAGGTAATTAGACCACATTGCAGCATTCCCACACATAGAGATTTCTGTGTATAATATACATTAAATTCGTGGCTATATAAATGTTCAGGAGGAAGATAGTAGCTCTAGCATCTAGGCATGTTAAGATTTTAAAAAGTAGTGGTTTTCTTAGCCACATGTGTATTTTTCCAACTACTTGGCATAAATTTTTACTGTTTCAACCACTTGTCTCTCTGATGGTCCATTGGAATACATTTAAAATGATAGTGTAGAGTTTGGAGTTCAGTTTGTGGCTACTGGATAAAAAAACTATTTTAAGAGTTTGAACTGTGGTTTGATCTCTTGTAATAAATACATTGAACCAGTAAACTAAGAGAGAGTTTAGTGATTGGTTCTGAAGATACAAAATGTCTGGAATGAAATGAAAGGTGCAACTTGAAATTTCTTTATAACCTATTTTATTAGATCTTTGTTAATTAAAAATACAATCCATATATTTCCCTTTGGGTGCTGATCAAGTTGTTTGAATTAGCCCCCATACCTTTTGTCTCTTTTGGTACTTTCTGTATCTTTCATCTTCCAGGAAGTTTAACCCTTGATATTATTTTAGTAGGCAACTAAAAGTGGTTGACTCATAAAAGTTTTATTTATATCTAACACTGTCTGTATTTTATTGACATTCTTTTTTTTTTCTTTAAACCTCCCCAAAGTACAGGCTATCAGAACTGATATATATGAAAGATTGTCTTTGGATCCATTTTCTAAGTGTTGAAGTCCCTCAAACATGTATTAGATATTAGATTATTTTTTACTTTTGTATAGCCACCAACTATAGTATGCAGCATCTGCAAAAAGGATGGCCATTCAAAAAATGATTGTCCAGAGGATTTCAGGAAAATTGATCTAAAACCTCTACCACCGATGACAAACAGATTTCGGGAAATACTTGATTTAGTATGTAAAAGATGTTTTGGTAAGTTTTTTTAATTACTCCAACTATTGAGACTAGATTCTTTCCTATTTGTTGAATATTACTTTCTAATTTAAAAACCATTTGCTTACATTTTGTTTTGGTAGAGGTTTTTTGAAGAGTGTAGGGTTCTAACCACAGATACTTACTAATGATAAATGCCTTCTATGTACAGGCACCAAGGTAAATGTCACGGGGAATCCAAAGCTCATACGTATTGCGTTTAAGGAGCTTAGACCCATAGATCTGAGCTATCTAATGTAATAGCCACTAGTTATAGGTAACGATTAAATTAAAATCCATTAAAAATAAATAAAATTAAAAATTAAGTTCCTCAGTTATACTAGAGGCAATATATGTGACTAGTGGCTATTGCACTGAGATGTCTAGATAGAGAACGTTTTCATGTTCTTGGATAGCACTTCTCTAGATGGATGTATAAATATGCATGTAAATCACCATTGTTGGAAGCAGAATATGTTATATACTATATTAGTGATAAATAAAATGCAATGTAAACACAATTTTTACTGGAGTGGGTGAGAGGAATTGGGATTAGTTGTATGGTACTGAGATTGAATTGTATTTTAATTTGTAGAAGATTAAAAGTCTAGAGTGCATAATCTCTTAGTGGGAAAAATTGCCTGTGATTTGGTAGGCTATAAGAAAGGTAATAGAGAGAGAAGGCTATACAAATATTTGGTGTGGGCCAGCCTCCAGGTGGTTACGGGAGCTGAATCCCACATGACTGTATGGTTCAAATCTCAGCTTCATTAGCTTGAAAAACATGCCAGGTATGTATATGTGCATGCCCAAAATCCTAATGCATTCCCAGTGGAGAAATGGAGGAAAAGGAATTGCAGCATGACCATTCCCCATTGGGTGGTGCTTTCTCCCTCTCCCTTTGTCTCTCTGTCTCTGGTGAGCACACATGTCCTCTGACAAATTAAAAATAAAAGATATTTAGGGGATGCCTTTCATGCCTTTATTCAGCACACATTTTTGGAGTACCTGAGATATAACTTCATTCAGCAAATATTTATGACTTTCTTGCTGTGTTCAGGTAAGGTAAAATTTCTGATGTTATAACATTTGGTTCCCCATTATAACCCCTCTCTCACACCCTTCTCCATTTTTCTCTTCTTGAAGGCAACCATTTATCCGCTTTTGTAACTGTAGATTAGTTTGCAATTTCTAGAGTTCTACATAAGTGAAATCATACAGAATTTACTTTCTTTCAGTCTAGCTTCTTTAATTTAGCTTAATTATTTTCTAATTTGTCCATGTTGTGTGTATGTGTTTAGCTTATTCTTTTTTACTGCTGAGTAGTGTTCCATTGTAGGTATATATTGCAATTTGCTTATCTGTTGATGAATATTTGACTTCTGTGTTTTGGCTATTATAAATAAATCTGTTACACTCATTTGTATATGGATCTGGCTATGTACATGTGTTTTCCTTTATCTTGGGTATGGTTGCATCATGGCACATTTTGGTTTCAGCAGCTTTGTTAAGATATAGTACACTACATTTGTTTTTACTTACTCAATAATTTATCTCAGTGTGACTCATGAATATTTTATACTTTGGGTTGTAATTCCATGCTACTTTGTTTTGTTGCTCCAATTATTCCTGCATTGGCCTTGGGAGCTCTTTCAGTTGGCTCTTGTGCCTCTTTGACATAGCCCCCCGCTTCAGTTGGTTTTATTCGTTTTTTTAGCACTTCATTACTTTCTGACACTACAAGGTTCTCCAAACTCATCATGTATAGTTTCTATCTCAGTCCCAGAATTAGGAATTTCTCTAAGGAGTCCTGATTCCTTTCACTGGAGAATAGTATTAGAAAGCAAGATCCAAACACTAGGTCTGCTTGATGTTACTGGTGTGTTGTTGCATCAAGGCCTTCTCACTGTAACAATATATATGTATGTATACTAACCATGTATATATACTTGCAATAAACATTTTTGTGTGATCATCTTACCTATATTAAGCTAAACCATGATTTCATACCAATGACTCCAACTTTAACCTGTTACCATATGGTTCATTCTAATCTCTTCTCCTTGCTTATCTGTACACTCCTGAGACCTGAAAATGAGAAGTGTGATTTCTAGCACTTACCACACATTTAATTGTTCTGTTTCAATACATGGGCTAGCAGCATCAGAACTGTTGCTTATGTGTAGTTCCTTTTGCCCTCAGTTTTACATATTCTACTAATTATCAGTTGTTTGGGTCAGTACCTTTTCTTCCATTCCTTTGTGTAAAATTGTTTCATACATTTATAATACATTTAGATTCTTGTGTCACAGTCTGCATTCTACCCTGAGATCCCCTGATCTCCTAGATAATTTTTTGAAATTTGCATATATTGGGTTGTCAGAAAAGTAATGATGCATTTTTGCATAGGAAAATACATCATGGCTTTCCCAATGACCTAATATTAAGTCCCCCCTCTATTTGTGCTGCAAAGTTCTATTTACTTTGACAGATATATAGTGCCATATGTCCACCATTAAAGTGTCCTACAGAAGTTTCATGCCCTGAAAAAAGAAAAAGAGGGACCAACAGTTGACGTAATGGCTATGTTGCTGGACTCTCCCATGTAGCTGACTGCAGTTCGAGTCCCGGACCTGGTGGCTTAAACTCACGCTGGGCGCGTGTGTGTGCATGCCCAAGATCCCGAGAGGAGAATGGAGGAGAAGGGATTGTGGTGTGGCCATCCCCCCGGGGTGTGATTTCTCACTTTCTGTCTCTCTGTCTCTCTCTCTCTTTCTGACGAGTGCATGCACCCTATAGCAAAAAATCTCTCCAAAAAAGAAAAAAGAAAAATTACCTTTAATCTGTTCAACTACCCTGTACTGCAACACCACTTATAAGTAAATTTCTTTTTGAAAAACTTTCATTTATTACAGCAGATTCTTAATTACTGCTTTGTTCTCATTTCTGCATTAACTTTTGAGGATAAGGCTGGAGGAGGAGTCAGGAAAAGAAGACTGTTCTTAAGGAATGTATGATCTTACTTAGAAAAAGAAGATGAATCTAAATGAAATAACTAGACGGTGGCAAGCAATTTGAAGAACTAAAAGTACTGAATTAAAGAGAGATCATGCTAGGCTGTAGTTAAGCAAAACAGTTTATAGGGAAGATAGGAATCTTAACCAGGCATTTAAGGGAACTGTTAGGTTTAAATAAGTCAGGTGCCTAGTGTAACAAAGTAAATATAGTCTTAACAGGAATGAAAAAACAAGCGTGGTTGTGGGAGAGAGTAGAGTGTCTGAAGAAAACAGTCTTAAATAATTTGAAGAAGTAAATATATTTGTAGATATCTCGTAGGGAAAACTGTCATGTGAAATGTACATAGATTTTTAAAATTATTTTTCTGCTGTCCTCCTGCCTCTTCCCCTGTAGCATGAATGGTTTTAAAGTTAGAGAAGTTGGGCTGACCTCATAGTGCAGTGGTTAAGAACTGTGCATTGTGGGGATCAGCAGATGGCATAATGGTTACATCACGACTCCCATGTAGTCGACCAAAGTTCAAGTATTAGACCTGGTGGCTTAAAACTCACGCCAGGTGCATGTGCATGCATGCTCAAGATCTCGAGAGAAGAACAAAGAAGGGATTGCAATGTGGCCATCCCCTCTAGGGGGTGATTTCTCACTTTCTCTCTCTCTCTTCAGTGAGTGCACATGCCCCATAGCAAAAACCTCTCTACCAAGGGGGAAAAAAAAACAATTGTGGATTGTGTGTCTTTCCATGGCCAACTTCAGTTTGAATCCTAGCCCTGGCAGGTTGAAAAACATGCCAGGTGTGCCTGAAATCCTGATGGGAAGGAGAAATGGAGGAAAGTGATTGTAGTGTGACCATGTCCCACTAAGGGTTTGTTCTCTTCCCCCTACCTGATGTACCTTATTTCTAGCCATTTAAAAAAAAATCTAAAAATAATTGTAAAATTTAAAAATATATGAGAAATAAGTTATAAGATTAAGAAATTGTTAAATAAAATTTCTGAGTCAAAACTTATTTTCAAATTCTGTTTTCCTTGTCTCCTTTTTTTTTAAAACCTAGATGAGCTATCACCACCTTATTCTGAACAACACAACAGAGAGCAAATTTTAATTGGCTTGGAAAAGTTTATTCAAAAAGAATATGATGGTATGTCACAGGTTAACAATTGATTTATTACTATAATCGTGCAATCTAAAATTTAATTCATTTATTTTGAAATGTTTATTTAATGCCACATGTTAGGTACTATTGTGGTTGCTGAGAATGCAATTCTATTAATAATCAAAAAAGGTGAAATTTCTCCTGAAGCTTCTGTTTCACAGGGGGAGACAGATAGATGGTCAATGAGAAAATAATTATAATGTTATATTAAGTGCTATAAAGTGCAGGAGACAAAAGGATAGAAATGTTGGAGTATTGGTGGAAGTTCTTTCTGATAAGGTGACATTTGAGCAGATTCCTAAATCATATTAAGAAGCAGGTTATATGAATATCTAGTGAGAGAACATTATAGAGAGAGTAGCAAGTACAAAAGACACCAGGACTTGATTATGTCTAGCATGTTTTGTTATAGCAGTCACTGTGGCTGGAGTAGATGGTAATAGAAAGATGGGGTTGGAGAGGTATCCGACCCCATAGACTATAGGACTTTTAATGGCTATTGGTAGAAGGATTTTGAATTTCAAGTGCCTAATGAAAAGCTTTTGGAGGGTTTTCAGTATGTGTAAGATAGATTATAAGAACATAAGAATAGAAGCAGTCAGAACATTTAGGAGTTTGGTGCATAAATCCAGATGAGACATAACAGTAGTTTGGAAGTCACATATTACATTTGGAATATACGACCCTCTGTATCCACAGATTCTGTAGCTATGGAGTCAAGCAATTCCAGATCGAAAGTATTGAGGGGTGGGGGAAGGGACAAAAACAAAACAATAAAAAAATAACAATACTGGCTGGCCCCATAGTCTAGTTGTTAAGGGAACCCAATCCTACATGGCCAACCACGGATCAAATCCTAGTTCTGGCAGCTTGATAAACACACTAGGCATGTGTGCATATGTGCCCAGAATCTGTGTGTGTGTGTGTGTGTATGTGTGTCTGACAAGTGTGTGCGCTCTGTGGCAAAAGCTTAAAAGAAAAAGTAAATTCTCAAATATTAAACTTAACTATTTGTAGTGATAGTTTGAATGAAGAAAGGTAGATGGATTTATGAGATAGTTAAGTTGGAAGAAGCTAAATGTCTTTGTGATTGGATGTGGAGATTGAAAAAGGCATTCAGGATCTCACCTGTACAGTCCTGCATCGTTTAACGATGGGAATATGTTCTGAGGAATGCATCATTAGGTTATTTTGTTTTTCACATTCCTTTCACAAAACTAGATGCCATGGCCTGCTACACATCCTAGACTATTGCTTCTAGGCTATAAACCTGTATAGCATGTTATTGTTTTGAATTTTACAGGCAAATGTAACATAATGGTAAGTATTTGTGTATCCAAACATATCTAAACATAGAAAAGATTCACTAAAAATATGGTATAAAAGATAAAATATGGTATACCTGTATAGGGTATTTACCATGAATGGAGGAGCTTGCAGGATTGAAAATTGCTTTGGAGTGAGCGAGTGAGTGATGAATTCGAAGGCCTGGGACATTACTGTATACTACGGTAGACTTTCTAAACATTGTACACTTAGGCTACACTACATTTTTTTTTTTTTTTTAGGTTTTTGCCACAAGGCATGTGTGCATGGTGGCAGGAGAGTGAGAGGGAAAGTGAGAAATCACCCTCCCCATGAAGGCGGCCATGTCTCAGTCCTTTCTCCATTTTCTTCCTAGGATTTTGGGCACACACACATGCCCTCATGTGACTTTCAAGCTGCCAGGTCTAGGACTTGAACCACATTCAACTGTCTGGGAGTCTAGTGCCTTAATCACCACACTACCTTCTGGCCCCAGGCTACACAATTTTTTTTTTTTTGTAGAGGTTTTTGCTATAGGGTGCATGCCCTCCCCAGGAAGACAGAGAGAGACAGAGAGAAAGCGAGAAATCATCCCCCAAGGGGGATGACCACGCCGCACTCCTTTCTCTTCCATTCTCCTCTCGGGATCTTGGGCACACACGCGCCCAGCGTGAGCTTAAGCCACCGGGTCTGCGACTTGAACCACAGTTGGCTACATGGGAGTTCAGTAACGTAGCCATCACGCCAACTGCTGGTCCCTACACTAAATTAAAAAGTTGTTTTTCTTTCTTCAATAATAAATTAACCTTAGCTTAGCCATGTAATTGCTTCACTTCATAAACTAAAATTTTTTTCAAACTTTTTGATGCTTTTGTATTAATACTTAGCTTAAAACACATATGTACTGCTGTACAAAAATACTTTTTTCTTTATATTCTTATTATTTAAGCTTTTTTCTTTTATTTTTTCAAATTTATTTAGGTGAGACAGACAGCACCTCCAACAGGCCTTGATTCAGTCATTCACCCCTAGCCTTCATTCGACCCCAGATCTTGAGCAAGCATGTGCCAGTGATCAGTGAGATCTCTGAACTTGATCCAGGGTCCTTCCATTATGTGACTGCCTCATAAAATGTCACATCCTTTTTATTTATTTATTCTTTAAAGATAATTTTACTGCTGGAATATTTTTGGCTTAACTTTTTTTTTTTTAATTTAACTTTATTTATTTATTTTAATTTGACCAGAGAGGGACAGAGTGAGAAAGAGAGAGAGGAAGGGAGGGAAGGGGGGAAGAAAGAGGGAGGGAAGGAGGGAGGGAGGGAGGAAGGGAGAGAGAAAGAGAAAGAGAGAAAGAAAGTAAGCCGCCATGTCTAGGACTTGAACCGCAGTCGACTGTGTGGGAGTCCAGTGCCCTTAGCCACCACACCACCTGATGGCCCCCAAAGTGTCACATCTTACTGCTGCTCTGCTGTTCAGTACCATTCTGTAAATTTTTTCCATTTTAAAATATCTTAATTTATTTTTTAACTTTTAAGGGTTTTTTGTTAAAAATTTAGACACTAAAATACTTCCATTACCCTAGGCCTACACGGGGCCAGGATGATCAATATCACTATTTGCTACCTCCATATCTTGTCCCACTGGAAGGGCAGCAATGAGTAAAAAATATAGATTAAATCAAAAGAGAAAATGATGCAGTTGATAGACATGTAAACATGAGAAATGAGAAATACGAGGCAGCTTCTACTATAATATGGCATACTGTTTTATAGGAATCTTGTTTTCTAATAAGTAGGGATGCACTCCAAAATAATTATAAGTATAATAAATACATGAACCAGTAACGTAGTTGTTACTGTTATGATGTCACTAGGTGACAGGAAATTTTTTAGCTCCATTGAAATCTTAGGGGACCACCATAGTACATATGGTCTGTCATTGACCAAAATAATGTTATGCAGTGCATGACTATATTTCTGTTTTGAACAGTTACTTAGATAATATTATTTACTGAAAAGAGGGATTGTAGGAATAATAGTAGCTTTGGGGTGAAGTTGATAGTTCAGTTTTTACATATTTAATATGATATCTGAAAAAGTGGAAAAGCAGTTGAAAAACATATGGGTACTTGGGTGAATAATGTGGACTTAAGATGAATGTTTTAGAATTTTTCAGTGTATTCCTAGTAGTAGGTAATGTTAGCCATAGACGTGGACAAGATCAACTGGTGATAAGCCACTAATAGATAATAAATAGAAGACGCCTCGAACCTGCTAAATGTAAGACTTTTGACTTGTTTTTCCCTTTGCTTAGAAAAGGCAAGATTATGCTTATTTGGTTCTTCTAAAAATGGATTTGGATTTCGTGATAGTGACCTGGATATTTGTATGACCCTGGAAGGCCATGAAAATGCAGAGGTAAGAGTTAATATTTGGAAAGGGGTGTGGAAATTTATTTTCTTCCAATGATGAATCTATTTTTATTTTTGTATGTATTAGTGTTAAAAATATATGATATGTTTTGTATCAGTATAATAATGGGAGTATTTGAAATGTAAAAGCATTAGTATTATCCACTTAGATTACATTCAAGTCTGAAAATAAGTAATTTTACTGTTTAAGTAATTTTATAACACAAAAGCCAAGTCATAAGAGTTATAAGAGCTTTGTAATGAATTTTGGAAAAAAGTTAATATGTGATAAAGCTGTTTTTTTGTTTGTTTGTTTTTTCATTAGAACCATTGAGAAGCCAGTGCTTCAGATCAGTAGTGATTATTGATCTTGCCTACTCTGTCTTCTCATGTCTCTTACATTAGGTGATATCTTTGGATCTCTATAAATAGATGGTATAGGTGGGCATCTCATTTATAAATGGGTTGTGTTCTAAAAATCTCTTGTAATTTTGGGGCACCACAACACATTTTTTTCCATTGAAGCAATGTTATAAGTGATGTACTTAAGATACAGCTTTTAGTAACTCATTTGGGCTGGGAGGGGAACTAACATTTATTGAGTCCCCAATATACACTTTTACATACATTATCTCATTTCATTCTTACAACCACCTTTGAGGTAGGTATTATTTCCCCCATTTTACAGATGAGGAAACTGAGGCTTTGAGAGATAAACTGACTTGCCCAAGTTCACACAGCTAGTAAGTGTTGGAGCCGGGATTCGTACCCAGGTCTGTCTGACTCCAGAGTTCATAACTCTTTCCATTTTATCTCATTGCCTCTCTGTAATTTTTTAACCCATAATGTAGCTGAAATATAGTACTAATAGTACTGTAGAACCTAACCACTACTTTCTGAAATTGAAAGCTTTCTGAATTCCACCTTGAGATGCCAGGAGCAGACCTTCCCCAAGTGCAATCTCAGCAGTGAGAGTGGGTACTTATATTTTCCTTCTTTGTATACTAGGCCTAAATAAAGGGAGTGAAATTGTCTAAGTTCTAGTGAATAAAAGAGACTGATGGAGCAGGGAAGACTTCTCCCGTGCCTTCCTAGCAACTGGGAAAGGAGGAGATCTTTGTAGATGCTCAGTTGTTTACCCGTATAGCTATTGGTATTTATGTTTGAAAATCAGGGACTGTTTGCAAGACTGGGGTGAGGCCAAGCTTCTGGCATCTGTAGTGGTGTCAGTATAGCCTCTGTTACATTTTAAAATAATTCAGCAGAATAATAGACCTTTGTGTTTCTGAAATAATTCTTTCAAAATATGGCTTTTAAATTGTTAGATCTGGAGCAAAGATGGCAGTGATGCCTGGTAGACCCTTACTTCTGGCTGAAAGAAATTACTTCCAGTGTTAACGCACTGTTCTAATAAACTGAAAAACTGCAAATATTTTGTTTCTCTTAACTAACTTCTACTTAGTGCCACCTACTTGAAAAAAGACTGTCCTTCATCTTGAAGAGTAGGAATTGAGAGAATAGTAAATTTTTTTTTTTTTTTTGGAGAGATTTTCACTGTAGGGCGCGTGCGCTCGCCAGACAGACAGAGAGAGACATAGAGACAGAAAGCGAGAAATCACCCCCCCAGGGGGGATGGTCACGCCGCAATCCCTTCTCCTCCATTCTCCTCTAGGGATCTTGGGCACGCACGCACACGCGCCTGGCGTGAGTTTTAAGCCACCGGGTCCGGGACACGAACCGCGGTCGACTACGTGGGAGTCCAGCGACATAGCCATTACGCTAACTGCTGGTTCCCGATAGTAAATTATTTTTACCCACGGAGGGGATTAGAATTTTAGTAGCCTTCTATGTAAAATTTAATAATCACACCTCTAATTACTAGTGTGTGTACAATTATGTATAATCTGTGTCATTCACTTTGGAAGGTTGAAACAATGAAAAAGAATATATTTATTTTCTTCCAGATGAGCTGTAATTGAAACTGGAAAAATATAGCTTAATTGTAGCTTTAAAATTTTAGCATAATTACACATTCTTGCATAATAGAGAAAAATTGCCACATTTCTTATTTTTTGTGCATGATTTAGTAACTAATGATGCCCTTGAAATCCCCAGGTTAAGGTGCAATGACTGCTGCTCTGTTATAGCTCAAAGGAGCACGTTGGGGATATGCAAAAGTGATTTTATAGTATCTGTTTGGATTGATATTTATTCTCTTAGTTTAATCCAGTTAATTTATAATATCATTATCTTCCCTTTTCATTATTTTATGAGTATCATTATGATACAGCTATGCTCTCTTATGTTTTTAAAAAAGTAATATAGTTAAATTTGCAGAGGTGAAATTTCCTCAAAGAAATTGGTGCTAGTGATAATAGGATTATCTTTTCCCCCTTACAAATGTAGTAATAATACCTAGCTCACAGATTTAAAGTGGTTTTTTAGTGCCAGGCATACTCCTGAATGATTTTCATATGTCTTATGTAATCCTTTGAAAAACTTTGAGCACAAGTTTATGTTTATCTTGATTTTTTTTTTTTTTTTTTGGAGCGGAATGATTTTCATATGTCTTATGTAATCTTTTGAAAAACTTTGAGCACAAGTTTATTTTTATCTTGATTTTTTTTTTTTTTTTTTGGAGAGGTTTTTGCTATAGGGCGCGTGCGCTCGCCAGACAGACAGAGACAGAGAGACAGAAAGCGAGAAATCACCCCCCTGGGGGCATGGCCATGCCGCAGTCCCTTCTCCTCCATTCTCCTCTCGGGATCTTGGGCACGCACACACACGCGCCCGGCGTGAGTTTAAGCCACCGCGGTCGACTACATGGGAGTCCAGCAACATAGCCATTACGCTAACTGCTGGTCCCTTTATCTTGATTTTTTTATAGAATAGTAGTGTGATGCTCGAAGGGATTGAGGATCTGATCAGTCACAAACTCTTCAGTATTTACTTCAATATTTGAATTTGTCTAAATTCAGATCCTGTGTTCTGAATCACTGTGTTGTTTTGTCCTCACCAAATCCTTCTTTAGTTTATTCACATATTGAAAACCATATTTTTCTCTTGCTTTTATGCATTTCAAACTTTAATCTGCATGTGAATTATCTTAGAATCTTGTTAAAATGCAGGTTGTGATTCATTTGGCTGAGGAGTGGGATCTTTGATTCTGAATTTCTATCAGATTTCCATATTATGCTGATATTGTAGGTCTCTGCACCATATACCTTGAATTGTGAGGTTAGGTAGAATTTTGTGGCTGGAAATTTTAAATGTTTGTATTAAATGTCTAGATTAAAGTAAAATTTTGCACAAAGCCAAATTGAGTCAGACAGACTTGAATTTATTATTTATTTGTTTTTGTTTCATTTTTAGAAATTAAATTGTAAGGAAATAATTGAAAATTTGGCAAAAATTCTGAAGAGACATCCAGGTATAAATTTTAAATTTTAAGTTTAAAATAAAAAGACAATAATTTTTGCATTATAAACATAATTTAACTTACTGAAGTTGTCTTTTTTTTCAATCAGGTTTAAGAAATATTTTGCCTATAACTACTGCCAAAGTGCCTATAGTAAAATTTGAACACAGACGAAGCGGGTTAGAAGGTGACATCAGTTTATATAATACATTGGTAAGTTTTTCTTTATAGGCCAAGTATAATTACACTTTTCATTTAATTTTTTAAATTTGCCGGGGTGCATACTCACTTGCCAGAAACAAAGAAGGGAGGAGGTGAGACAGACAGAGAGAGAGAGAAAGGAGGGAGGGAGGGAGGGAGGGTGAGAGAGAGAGAGAGAGAGAGAGAGACAAAGAGAGGGAACACCCGTCATTGGGGTGTGGTCACGCCACAATCTTTTCATTTGTCCGTTCTGTCAGGATTTGGGGCATACATGCAAACATGCAAATCTCCTGGGCCAGGATTGAACCATGAGGTTGGCCTTGTGAGATCCAGCTCCTTTAACCATGAGGCTACAGAACTGGCCCATTTTAATTTTATTTTTCAAAGTTCATTTATTTCTTTGAAAAAGAGAGAGAGAGAGACAGGTGCCCTTGACACGGCCATACCATGCTGTAATCCTTCCCTAGCCTCCTAGCCAGCGAGTATCACAGACATAAGTGGATGCATCTGGTATATTCCCTTTGACTCAGGATTCAATCCTCTGTCTTCTATATGGCTTCAGTATTGTGCAGTTGGTGCCCTACCAGCTGTGCCACTTGGCTAGGACTATAATTTTTATTTTCAAAGTTTACAGATTTCTGTCTGTCTGTCTGTCTCTCTCTCTCTGTATGTATGTATATATATTGTGTGTGTGTGTGTGTGTGTGTGTGTGTGT